GGCTAAAACCAAACTGTAGATAAAGTCGTATTGAACACAGCCACGCCCGTTCATTTACATTTTGTCTCTGGCTACTTTTGTGCTACAAAGACAGAGTGACTAATGAGGACAGGGACCCTATTGCCTATCAAGTCAAAAATGTTTCCTATCTGGCCTCTTACAGTAAAATTTGACCAAATCCTGCTCTAGTCTTTTCCTATCCAACCCAGCCATTGTCTTCCCTTTTGCTTTAGGCTCTTTTGGTGGAGAAGTATCTTTGAATGTTAAAATTTCTAACTATGAAACATTTTAAACATAGAGCAAGACACAATGTATACCAGAGCCCGTGTACCCACCACCAAGATGAAAACACTATGAGTATTTCCCGTCTTCATTTTGCAATCTCTTTCTATTTTGAAATAAATAAAATAATACAGGTAAAGCTAGTTTCATCCTCCCATCCTTCTCCTATCCTCCCTGGGATGACCAGCATCCTACACTTGGTCAATGTCATTCCTGTTGATGCTTTTCTGCTTTTCCTGCTTAGGTTTTGTGCATGAGAGTGTGATTGTGCGTGAGTATTTGACCTTTAGATACATAGCACAACAGTTTTCTTTTGCAGATGTTTAATTCAAAAATAGGTGTCTGAGATTTTACACATGTGGATTTTTTAGGAGTCTTTTCACCTCCACTGATGAATATTGAAAGAACAGTTTATGTATTCACCTTACCAAGGAATAGTTAGCTGCTTCTAAATGTTCACTATTGCTAATGGTGCTGCACTGAACATTTTGGTGTTTATTTATGCCCATCTGTTAGAGTTTTTCTAGAAGATACACCAAGAAGTGGAATGCTGGGTCATAGGATATGTACAACTTGAGCTTGACTAAGTTTTGCCAAGTTACTTTCCAAGTGCTTATAGCAGTCTGCTCTCCCCTGGGTAATACGCGTCCCTGCTCCTACACCTGCTTGCTAACCCTGGGTGTTACCAGCTGTATTACTTTTTGCCTATCTGAAAAATTTAAAATGGTATCTTATTATTCCTTTCATCTGCATCTCTCTGATTACAGGAGAGTTGACCACCAAGCTCAAATGCAGTCGTTGTATGCTGAAAAGGAAATGATTGCAAGCTTATTCTAAGCTAAAGAGAGAAAATATTAGAAAAGAGAAAATAAGAAGTACTAACTATAAATCTTCTGAACTGTCATGAGAAGAATAAGAAGTAGCTTGCAATTTCNTATCTCGTTTGTTCCTTAAAGCAGCCTTAAGACGTAGGTGGCGTTATGTTTTATCCCCACTTTATGGTGAAGGAA